TGTTTTGGACTCGAACGGTGTCATTTTCGAAACCTACGGAACCCAAGATTTCGTTTCGAACCGGATTCACCGTGAGCGTATTCGCGAGTTGTTTACACGGCAGAAGTTTGAATCCTCTCTTCCCTCTCACCTGCTCGGTGTTATTTCGGTGACGCGGACGTCAATCCGTACCACGTGACTGGGGGAACACGTGAGCCAACCCTACAGGAGAGAGCGTTTGAAAACAAGACGCGGCGTAGAAGGGTTCTCTCCGGTTCTCCCGTGCCAAAGCGAGAAAAACAAAAACAGGAGCGAGGAGCTCGTCGTTCCTTTCCGGTTTGGAGCAGGAGAGAGACAGAGACAGGGAAGGATTAGTGCGAGATTCCAAGATACGGGTTCCACAAAAAAAAGGGAGTGTCTGGGGGCCTGGCCGGATCGGTGAAGCGATGAAGTTCGGCGAAGACTACTATTTCCCTCCTCCATCGATGGAAAGGGTGCATGAGACAGGCGGGGACGGCCTCCTGAGACGGCCCACTTCCAATAGAAACAACTGTCTGTCGCCGCCCCCCCCCCTCCATCCTTCTTTGCCTCCTTTCCTCTCCTTCCCCCTTCCCTTCTTGCCTCAACTTCTTCCCGTTCTTTCGACGCCACGTGGTCTGTGCGTGGTACAACGTCCTACCGACGAGGAGGATGGAAACGAGACGATTGGGCAATTCCGTCTCTAGGGAGCATGGGGTCCATCCGTGCTCTTGGAGGGGAGTCGTCAACAGGGCTCGAGAGAAACCGGTCTTACCGTTCCCTAGGAACACCTGGCCGGTCGTGTCACGTTTTCATCTCCGAAGCTAAGGATTTTCTCTTGGATCATCAGTCAGGAAAAGATTCCGGGAGGAAGCAGAAACAGTGCGAGTAATGTCCAGCTGCCATTCCCTTTGCGGTGGATTTTTTTTTGAGTCCAGAAAAACTTGGAAAAGTGGCCGTCGTCAAATTGCTACAAGATGAGGAAGAGGGGCGAGAGAGATCCATCCATTGTCGCCTGACCGCCCGATCCAATGTGATAAAATTCGCCTGCGCTTCGGCCTGCGAATTTTCAAGCATCAATAGTGGAAGCATTTATTCAACTATTTTGTGATCATTTCCCACTCCCCCTCCCCTCCCAAAAAAAATCCACGAGACTGCGTCTGAACGCATCAAAGACATCTGGCATCACTGCCGGACGCCTGATCGTCGATCCTGGTAACTTCCCAAATCGGAAAGCCTTTCTCGCTATCGCACGCAGAAGGAAGCGGCGCAGTAATGCAGGCGTCACAACTTGATCGACTAGGATCTCTTCCTTTTACGTTTCTGTTTATCATCAACGCCGACCATTGTCCAGTGGGCATCGCCATATAAAGAAAAACTGACTCCAAATAAAGCAGCGGATCGTCGAGGCGATTCCCATCGTGATACACGCGAATAAACAGGTTTCAATATGTCGACATATTTTTCTGTAATTACATGCGACTTAACGATATTCCACTCGATTCCACGTGACATGCTCCGGAAGGAAAGATCTCGTTTATTCGATCGAATGGGAGAGAGTTCGTGGTGCTGAGGCGAGTTTTCAAATCTTCAAAATATTTTACGGAAAAGGATCGAAAAAGAATAGGCTCTGCAAAAATCCCATGATCTTTATTTTTTTATATTTAGCCATCCGTGATCGAACTTGTCCCAGCATCACAAACTTCGCGAAATTCAATTAGTCCCATGGGATCCGCAAAGTGAATCCCACTGTTTAATGCCATCTGGGAAAAAAAAGGAGAATATGATTAGAATTGTATATAGCGTTTGGATTTTCAGGAGGAAAAAAAAATCAAGAGATCTTCGGAAAATCAATTGGTTCTAATATTCTTGAAATTGTATCTTTTTATTTTAATTGTCCATTCCCTTGTTGCCCTATAGGAACGTGACAGATGTTGTTCAGGTTTTTTTTTTCTTTCATTGCGTCTGTCAGCAGTTGCCATAGCAACTGATTATACTGTATTTGTATTCTCCTTTCGTTGCCAATGCTAATTCCCCATAGACTTGGCATGGAAGAAGAAACTCCCTACTTCAATTATCATCTCAATCGTCGAAGTCGATGGAAAGACAGACCTGGCGAAGTTCCAATTTTCTCCTCGTGCACGGTATCCTCGAGTTTGCATCTCGCCAAAAACTTTTTGCTTTCTCTGCATTCCTTCTGTTGCAAACGTCCGCGTCGCTGTTTCTCTGGAGCCAACGAACGAACCGATGATATTTGGGTCCCAGCATCCGGTCGCAAAGAGGTGTCCATCATTACCAGAGGTTTAGCGACTAGTGGTAACGTAGCCAGGGTCTGTAGCGACCGGTCGAACGGCAGACCTGTGCCTGGGCTGGGACTCCATTGTTTTTTGTTTGCTTGTTTGTTTTCTTTTTTTTTTTGTCGGATGGCCGACGTTCGGGAAACCGACGCTCTGCTGCGCCACGGACGACTGTCGTCTCGAAGCTAAATGAGCTCCAGATAAATTACCCTTAGTTGGGTGGAGGAGCTGTTCGCGCGAATCCGCCTTCACAAAAATATAATTGAAAATTTACAGAGTGGGCCAAAAGTCAGGACACACTTGACATTTTTATATTTTGCTTTATTCGTTACAAGATAAGCCAGGAATAATACATGTATCTAAGCTATTTAAACATGTATCATTATATTTAATTTAATATTTAATAATATTATTAATAATGTATATTTAATTATATTTATAATAATTAATAAATAAACTAAATAAAACAAAATATCATAACATTTCAATTGTGTTCTGACTTTTTTTCCCACCATGTATATCTCTCGACCCATTGTGCGAGTTGTCGATGCTGAGAAGTGAAGAGTGGTAGTTTGGGAGAAGATGCAATTTCTTTTCTGCAGCAATAGTAAACTCATGTTTAACGATTTTAATTTGAATGAATTTCTGCAACTCACTCCCTTATTTTCAGTTCTGAAATTCACGAAAAGGATCGGAAAGCTCAGGACCGACATAGAAGAAAATAAAACACTGTTTACATCTCTACGCCTTGACCTTGGTGAATGTTTTTTTTTTTCGAAATACTTTCGAGACGCTGCCAGGTTTTTCGCTGCTCGGTGCGGGGAATCCTGGATAGCTGCTCCGCTCCAATCCATGTGTCGATTATCAGACACCCCGTAGAAATCATCTCTGGACACCGCGTAGAGCCAACATGAGGGAATGTAAGGGAATCCGGAACCGGGAGACGAGAAAATGTGACACCCAAGGACGTTGAAGGTCGACGACCATGCGCACGCCGACAGTCGAGGGACGGCAACAACAATAACAACGGCGAGGATTTTTTTCCTTCACTCATTCTTTCCCGGCGCCTCAAGGCCGTCGGGTCGGTGAATGGGAGGTCGGTCCAGTCGAAGGGGGACAGCTGAGATGGGGCAATAATCCGTTTATTTTCGGGGTCTCCAGGAGAATTCATTTCCGGGCTTTTCACCCCTAACTTCCTTGTTTTTCTGGCGTCTGGAGGTCGCCGGAGTGTAGGAAGGCTCCACCAGGGCTTCACTGATTATGATAATGATCCTTTAATGACCAAGGGGCTAGCTGTGTTGTTTTTACTTTTCACTAATTTTTCCGTTCTTTCCGTGGCTTCGTTTGGGAGTTTGCGTGCTCAATCAGTACAGATAGGTGATCGTCGCACCGATGTGGGATTCAGTGCCTATTCGGCTATTGATAATTACTTATCGAATACTTTTCCATCTTTACCATGCTGTAAGGAAAGGTGGGAGCAATGAACACGATTTACGTTTGGGGAATATACACTCCAGTTTACTATTGAAACTGGTAAATACTGGTACTGCTTTGTTCAGATGTCTTCCTGGTATTCTATGGATTTTTGATGAGCTGTTCGAGGACAGGTGCAGGTCTTGCTGTAAAATGAAAAAATCCTATCTTCGTCGGACGGCCCTCGACCAATTCTTACGGACTTCAGGGTCGCAGAGAAACCCTGGGATTGGCTCCCGGTTTTCCACTAAAAGCAAATATCTGATTGAATAAGCCTTCGATCACAACGGTACAACTGCATAGTCCTTGCTCTGTGAAGGGAACTAGGCCGGACACAAACGAGTGCAAAGCAGTTCCCCAGAGAGAGTCACTTGGTTTGCCTCGAGAGAGAAGTCGATCAATCTTGCTCACTGATATAACGCTGATTGTGGACGCTTCTGCTCGAGGAAAAGCCAAGGGGCTGTCAACTTGAGAGAAGAGTGGTCGCCTTTTGCTACACCGTCGTAGCACGTCCTGGCTCGAGGTTAGTTCGAGGATCAAACCGAACAGGTGGCGCGTACGTAGATTCCAACAGGGTTCAGGTGGTACTTGCGGACGAAATGGCGTCTGTTAATTTCGCAAAGGAGCAGTGCCTTCTGGGCCTTCTAAAACCACGAATGGAAGACGAGTTAGCTGAGCCTTGGAGGAGTCGTAGGAAGCGGTCGACACTGGCTGGGCCTTAAGTCCAGAGAGAGATCCTAGTTCGATCTGCCCGAGTCGCGAAGCCACGACTACCTCTTGAGAACCGATAACGGGGTCCTTTTATAGACTGGAGGATGGCATAAAGTTGGGTCAGGTGTGGCCGTCACGGCAAGGTTGTAAACAACACGGGAGGCAGGTGAATTCAACGTGTTGTTCGCGTGATCATTGCATGTACAGGGTTCACAAGGTCAGTTTGAAAGATTTCTTGTCTATCAGAGGTTGATTCAATGCACGAATACGAAGGAAAACAGTATCGTTCTATAATTAGAGTACTTACATATTTAAAAGAGGAAAGCGTAGTTACTTCCTTTCTCGCAACAAAATCATCTTCTCACCTCGCGCTTCTCGCCTGTCCGTTAAGATTGTCTTCGGATGGCACGAAGGGATGATAACCGAAGGGATAGTACTTTAGGGAGGATTTAAAGTTGAGATTCCGAAAGCGCGTGGAAGAGTCGAAATTGGATCGAAGGCCGATGCAACGATGATGCAAAGCTAACGGCACCAGCGGTGAAAGCCGAGCGGGTGAAAAGGGGTCTCCAATCCTTCTGTCAGCCGGAGGCCGGGGGCGCAGCCACTCGCGGGGCACACGGTCTCCAGCCGCAGATCACGCGCGCACGGCGTGGCTTTCTGCCGGCTCCGTTCCTTCGCGTCCTCCCGGCGTGGCGGTGGAATCTGACGCTATTTTCCGGCAGGTATCGAAACTCGTGTATGGAAAGGTCCGTCTCCGACGCGTTTCGGGGTATGAATAAACGAATGCGACACGTGTTGATAAGATTAAATTTTTAAATTAAAATCTGTGACTTATTTCTTGAATGGAATGGGAAATGACCACAACCACAGAATGGGAAGCGACCCCTCAGAATCAAAGTCAACAGCTGGAAAATCGGTCAATTCGTAGATGGAGTCATACAAAGTAGCGAGTGGATATTTTTTTCTCTCTTTTTCGAATAGCCTCGAGAATTTTTCCTTCCTTCGGCCGAACAAGAGTACTGAAAGCTGAGGCATCATCGGATTGAAGGCACTCAAAGAGGCAATTAATTTTTCCTCTACTGAGTGTCCGACAGAAAATTGCGGATTTCAAATTAGAACTTTTCTAACTGAATATCTATGTTCTTGATTTTCAGATAAGGTTGTCCCTTGAAGTTTGAAATGCTGGTTTGAAAATGCTAACTTCCATTCCATTCCGTTCCATTTGCTGGTGCCCCCCCCCCCCCTCCCAAAAAATAAATAATATAAATATAAATAAATAAATACGCTTTAGTGTGCGCTTTTTGAATGCTGCCATCGGAATATTCGAATGCGCTCGAAATCGTGAAACCAATCGTGAAACCACTCGCTCCTCTGACCCGGCGGTTTTTCCTTTCTGGCAGACGCGGCTGGATTCGCGTTCAAATTTCTTCGTTGATTTAGACGTAGCAAAGCACAGAATGCACTTGACTCTTTCAACATCGTCATGTCGACTGGCGGCTGTCGCGAATCACCGTGGAGTTAAGTCGGTTCCTCAGTAACGGGCGGCAGTTCGCGAGTCTGCGTCTGGACTTTGCAAAGGGAAACCCTTGATGAAGTTTTTGGCCAGAAAATAGAGATTCTTGCAAAAAACTTAAGACTTCGAGGAACACAACTACAAAAAACTCAAGGGTGTAGGTGTCCTGTTTAAAAATTTGCATTCATTTGAAACCTGGCGTTTTCTGTCGAACATCATGTGGAATAGTTTATGTCGTATTTGAAAGGCGAGGGAAATTCAGAAATGAAACGCAAAAAGTGGCCCTGCTTCATCATTCACGTTCTTAACTAACGCCCAGTCCACTTATATTTTTTCAAACAGGATATTGAGGAACAGCGAGGAGGCCAAATCTTCATCTGCGCATTCCATCTTTCCTCTCGTAAATTTGACACGATGCAAACGTGACCTGCAAGAAATCGACACTCTCGGCTACCAAGCAGCCGACCGAGCCAAGATGTCGATCCAGTCGTCTCTTCCCGACGGTCGACCGTCGAGCGATCGCAACTCGGGGGATCGCCGGCTCCTTTTCGGCTAGACGACCGCGACACCGTCCACTTCCGGCCTCCACGACGATGTGCGTGCTACTGGCAGGCGGGACGATTCCCACACCGGACCTAGATGGGACGAGCGTCGCGCTGCCGTGACGTCACTTACGGCCGGCGGGAGAATCCTCCTGGTCTCTGGACGTTAGGCGATTCAGAATCCGCGACGAACCTCCTTTTGACAGCTCCGTGTTTCTCGATCGGGTGACTCTCTGGTGTCCGACGTGAGGCTACTTCAAGGGATCGAATCTGAGGAGGAAGCAATCAGGTAAAACGATCACTAAGTACCTTCGATATTTCTTATTAATGTTACCTCATCATTACGAAGTATTGTTTTTACGGAAAATAAATTTTTATACAAGCTTGGATTGGAAAGTTGCCCACGGCTATGGAGATCCCGTCATTCACATCTGGCTAATAGTACGGATCAGTACGTGTGTTTACGTGGCTGTGTGTGTATGTATATGCAGTGTTGGGCGCGTTACTTGTGAAAAGTTACTACTTACAATTACAAGTATTCTATCCAAAAAGTGATTAGTTACCGGTAGAATTACTTCTCACCAAAAGTAACTAGTTTCAAGTAGAATTTACTTTTCAAGTTACTTTTCCTGAACAAGAAAAAAATTGATATTTCAACAGCTTCTCCACCTCTTTGACGGAAACTGGATGCATGCACTGAAAGCAAAAGTTATCCTTGATTTCATTAAAATTGAATTGTGATCATCACTGAATTGGAACTCATGCTCACTCTTTTCCCTGTGCCTCTTCCCTACCCATGGGCTACTTAACAGGAATTACATGCTGATCATCCAGACCTAACATTAGACCAAAGGTTGTCTGTATGGAGTCAGGACACGATGTAACTAATCTAGACTACTTTCTCAAGTTAAATGCTGAAGTTCGCACGACAGAAAGTACCTTGGCCATCAGTAAACATAGAGAGCACTTCACACAGTTTGCATCGATGCAGCGGTGTACTTTCTTTGAAGGGTCTGGGGGGGGCAGAGCAACAGAGCCAAACCCCACCCGAGCGATTTCGGGAGAGAAAAGTATTACCACTTAAAGGGGCGCCAGGCTGTCCCAGGGGCCCCAGGGGGGCGGCTGCCCCCCCCCCCCCCCCCCCCCCCCCCCCCCCCCCCCCCCCCCCCCCCCCCCCNGGGGGGGGCCCCCCCCCCCCCCCCCCCCCCCCCCATAAAATACGCCACTGCATTGATGGAACTCTTGACTTCGTTTCTAACTTCCTGCACTTCAAAAATATTTTTGCAGGTATGGCCAATAATTCTGCACTGAAAACCATGGTTTCTCAAGGCAATTTCATATCCCCACCTTTACTCCTAATTTTCTCCTGATTTCCTCCGAATTTTACATCAATTAGGATACATGTAATCATGAAGCACTAGTTGTTTAAAAAAAAAATTACCAAAGCATCAAGCAAAGGAACGCGTTACAGTAACACCACATACTTTTCCATGAAAAGGAACCAGTTACCAGTTCCGTTACCTTCCCCTGAAAAGTAACTCGTAATCAAAAAAGTTACTGAAAGATGTAATTAATTACTGTAACACTGTGTATAAGTGTGTGTGTGCGCGCCCTTGTAGATCGCCATTGAGACACCCGTGAGTTACGCAACTTGCTTAAACAAATTGTTTAAGCAAATTGCTTAAACGAGGGGGGATGGAATCAATATTATTTTTGGGATCCCAGACCAATCCACAAGGAGAATTGCTATGTTAGTTCAGAACTCCCAAAGAGCATCCTACGTCGATTTTCTCCGCCAACAATTCCAGAGACCATGCAATTTAGTTCGGTATAATCAAATCGAAACCGGGAGATTTTAATTATATGAGCGCAATATCAGAAGAGAATTTTCATTATGCACACTCGAAACGTTCAACTCGACAGCGAATTACTTCGTGAAATTATGTTTTGCGAATTTTTAACTTTTGAACATTTAAGAGACGATGGACCGAATGGACACCTTGGAGATATCCTTCATCTCTCCGTTTGGCAAAGGGCAAAGAGCAAAGGGCTAAGGGCGAGGGGCAAGATAAAGCCGGTTCTTCGTCGCGAGGATCAGTGGAGTCGATCCGAAATCGATCTCAATCGAACGTTCCCGGATCGGCCGGAACGAGCGCCATGGCAGTTAGTTCGGATCGAACAGGCAAAATACGAAATCCCGAGACGCCGTGTTGAGATCTCGACTCACTGTCGCTGAAAAATGGTAATAGGCAAGTAAATATAAAGAAAAACTGGGGGAATTGATGGGTCGAAGATCGATTGCATAGAAAGGGCGAAAAAAAATCTAAAGGAAAGATATGCGCACAAATGTCAATCACACCTGTTCCGTGATCGATAGTTTTGGAGTCGGAAAAAGAGCTGCTTCAGCCTCTTTTTTTTTTCCCAAAGCCATCGGGGAAAATATTTCTAAGATCTCCTTCAACCCCTTTCTGATACCAAACTGGTTTATCGGACCGGATTGTGAAAGCCGATATTGAGACAAACAACAGATGAAGATGGATTATGTGGCGTAGGAGAAACGAGAGAACCGGAGAACATTCTCTTCTTTCTTCCTTTTTTTTATTTAAAACGACGGTGCTTTTTCCAGGCGGATCTCGTTTCGGTCATTTTCCGACCGAGGTCGGATCGCAGCGATATGTGACAAAAATTAATTTCATCTTCTTTCGCGCTGCTTTCACTCTCGCCCTTGAGGCGAGTAGAGGTGGTAAGGTGGCGCCGGATGATGAAAGGGCAAAGAGGGCAGAGCAAAGAAGGGCAAAGAAGAGAGGACGCGACGAGAGGGGCTCCGATCACGACGCAATCTTCCCCGCAGGGAAAGAGGCGCGAACGAATGCCGCCGAACCGGATGACGAAACTCGGGGGTGTGTCGGGGTCCGACGAAGGATCGGCGGCGCTCGCCCAGACGCCTCAGAATTCACGGGGGGGGGAAGCCCCATCGGTGCTGCCATCTTCCGAGGGCGAGACGTAACTACGTTTCCTTACCATCCGCGGCTCTCGACTTCCCGAGAGCGAGATGGAGGAACTCTTTGGATTTATGGACCTCGTGTTCGATCTTTCGATCGAGCCGCGAAATTCCTCAAATTCGTGGGATATGCGAATGAACATATCGCCAGTCTTCGTGCTAGATTTTATTTTCTTGCGGTGGATGCTCTCTGAGAAGTGAAACTTCGGAACGCGTGTAAGGGTGGAATTTTGAACCGAGAACTATCCGATAATGCTGCCTTTATTTCCAGGAAATATAATGCATTTTCCCTGGAATAAAGCTGCATTATCAGACAGTCCTCGGTTCAAAAATCGACCCATTTGTGCCATGATTCCCCACGCTTAGAAACAAATGTTGATCTATCGGGCCTTCCATCAGCCAGGTACCTAGAGCTGTGAACTGGCTTATTTAGGTAAAATGCATTCCGTTTAATCCACACATACTTACAGTAACAAGTCATATATGACATATAGTTCAACACGATTCGTATATGACCTATTTGCTGCGGTAGCTAATGCTGTGATGAACCATGCTCCTCGCTGTTGCGCGGATGCATTCTCTTTGCCATAACAACTTGAGCGGTTCCCCATATTCTCGATGTTAGGGAGGGGAAGCAAAATGAATCCGACTTTTTCAGAGCAGCAGCGGTAAGTAAATGAATGTAATTGAATAAAATTATATAAATAAAAAAATGCATCTATGATGCTCCTCGATGCTCCTTCCTGAATCTACCGTGATGAGGAAAATACCGCGTTTCTGTCGGCCTTCGCGCGGGGATCGTCTCAGACATGCACGCGATATCGCGTTATATTTATTCCATCGCACAATCAAGGCCCAAGGACTCATCGAGTTCGTCATCGCAGTCGATACGAGCGGAAAATAGGTCGCGTATGTTTGTCCAGACAGCAGACGACAAGCAAACGAGTGCAAGGGCAAGACGCATCGATTTCCATTTTCACAACTTCACGATCTTTCGGAATTCCGAGAATGAGTATCTAGGATTAACAGAAAAGCGTCTTCGATGTGTCGTCGGAAAGCTGCAGATCCCACGTTCCGAAAGCCGACAGGGAGGCCATCAAAACGTCAGTGACCCCGGGGGGAAAAAAAAACTTGGAAGAGCCGGTCGCACGGCGATCGCTTCTCCCATCTGTGCGTCCCGCTGCATTTTTTAGGGTCTCGTCCTTCGCTCTCCCTCTGCGGCGGGAGGGAAAGGTGTGACGGGAGGACGGAGGCTGACAATCGGAGATTCGGGGCCTGGGAGACTGAGAGGCAAGATCCACACTTGGGTTCGCGAAGAATCATAGGAACGATGCACGAACGTGTACTATTTATTATTTATGTTATATAAATCCTGATACATTGGTGTATGAACGATGTCCTCGGGCAAGAGTACCGTGATTCAGAGGAGAGGAAAATTAGTGCCCCACACCCCGAGAGAGGTCCACGATATCTTAAAATTCTCGCATAGATGGAGAAGGAGACAGGCGATACAAAGCAGCAATTCAGCGAATCAGAATCAGCGCTACAAAATAGTACGATCTCGTCTCACTTAGCGAATGCGAACCCCGAAGATGGCAGCAGCTGCCTTGGAAAAGTCAAAGGAAGTCCGGAGAGTTGGGTCCTGGCGAAAACAAATAAGACTGTCTCGCACAGGTCCGGACTCTCATTAGTCTTCGGGTCGATGACGACGTCGGTTGCAGCCTCGTGTCGTCTGAGGTGGGGAACGGCGACATACGCAGTTGTCACCTGAAGATAGAGCCATTGTACTCTGTGCGAGAGTGGGGAGAGATCTTCGTAAATAAGGAAAAGCCAAGGTTCAAGCTACGAACCCAATGATAAACCTCTCGAATATTGATGGGCGTCACGGGGGTGAATCAGGAGAGGGAGTGGGAGGGGAAAGGAAGCTCAATATAAAGAAATTTGAATCTCAATAGACTTTTCATTTGGGACGGGAGCGCACTCTCAGCAGAAAGGGTTTGTGTTTCATCCTCCTAAGGATTTATACTTGAAAAAAGGATTGATACAACGTAAAATCTCTGGTGAAGGATTCTTGCCAGTTATAAATCCCTCACCGTGTAAAATTCTTCGGAAATTTTACACGAATCCCAAAGGGTTCGTCAAAAAACCCTGGCGATGGAATTGGTTTTGCCTGTAACTCCTTTTGGATATACACCGACGGACAAAACTGTTCGCATGTTCGGCATCTTCGGCTTTGTCCTAGTAATTATCATAGTAAAGGGTGATCGAATTGCTCTGCGCAGCATATAAATTTGTAGCCAAACTCGTCTTCCATACGTATGTAAAGTTTCATTAGAATCCATCCGATAGATATGGAGAAATCTCAACGAACAACAAACCACTGCATGCGGACAGTTTTGTCCCCAATCAAAACTTCAACTTTATTCGCTTACTCAACAAATTCAATACTCTGTTCACATCCCTTTGGCCTTAATCACAGCCTCAAGTCGCCTAGGCATGCTTTCCATTAATCTTCGACATGTTTATTCGTCGATCTTGTTCCACTCTGTTTGGACCCGCTCCCACACCTCCAGCATACCTTTGGGCGGTTCCTCGTACCGATAGAGGAGCCTCTTGAGGTGTGCCCAGAGACGCTCGATGGGGTTTTGGTCTGGAGACTGAGCTGGCCGCTCCAGGACCTCGAACGGCTGTTGATTCCGCAACTGTTGGGCACTCTTCGCCTTATGATTTGGATCGTTGTCATGCTGGAAAATAAGTCTGTTGACGTCGAGATCATACCGGTCGATCGTTTGCAACAATTCGTCCTCCAGGATGGAGCTGTAGAGCTGCTGGTCCATGGTGCTGTTGATCTTGCACACGGTTCCCTCGATCGTCATGCAGCCCAAGATCACGATCCAGCCGCTTCCGTGCTTGACAGTCTGCTTGACGTGTCGAGCTTGCCGGCGTTCCCCCTCACGTTTCCAGTACCATCTGAGCCAAAACGGTTGATTTTGGTCTCATCCGATAAAAGGACACGCTTCCAGTCATCAATCGTCCAATGCCATGTGGCTTCTGGCGAACTCCAGGCGGGCCTTGATATTTGCTGACGAGAGTTTCAGCTTTTCTTCCTTGTCTACTGCACTTAAACCAGCTACGCGGAGGGCGTGGCGAATGGTCTCGACGTTAACTTCGACTCCCACGTCGTCCCTGAGCTCGTTGGTGACCTGCGTGGCTGTTTCCAGCTTACCAGAGGTGATGGCACGGACGCAGAACCGCTTGTCTCAAGATGATAGCTTCTGGGGACGACCGCCTTTCGACCCTCAGCTGTCAGGAAAATGCTGTTTCTGGGTCTTTTGGACAAACGATCTGTCGACGTTGCATCGCTTGGTGATCTCCCTCATGGAGAAGCGAGAGGAAGTTTCTCAGGGTATCGTCAGAAAGTGGACGCATGATGACTGAATTCGAAAATGTCACTGAAGAAGAATGAAGACAACCCCAGAGGAGGAAGGTTTCTTGGCTATAGGCCACGAGCTCATCTGAGCACGTGACAAACACATCATCCGCCCAACGTTAGTTGTCTATTCATGATTCTCTGAATAGTTCGTCGTGCTCCAGGAGACAGCACGTGCGCGAGACGGGACCAAGGCACCAAGGAAAAAACTGTCTGAATGCAGTCGTTTCCTTTCAGTTGAGATTTCCCCATACCCACTGCATGGATTCGAATGAAACTCTAGACAATTATGGAAGAATCGTTTGGCTACAAATTGTACGAGGGGTGATCCAAAAGTTTCTGCCCTGAGGTATAAGGTAATGTGAAAGACTATTTAAAGAAATTTTATTTTTCAGCATTACCCCCCCTGGATATGAATGCTAGTCCGATTGCTGGGACAGAGCTTCAAATTTATTGAGAAATGTTCATTTTCCACCGTCAACTAAAAATGCTGAAATGGCTTTACGGAAGAGACAGGATTGTCAGTTTCACCTTCATGGTCGCTTCACAGGAAGTTTTTCTTTACATTTTTGTTCTTGAATGAGCTGTTTTATGGGGATGATTACATGTATATCATATGAATAGTTTAAATAATACTAAATACAACTAAAAAAATTGCTCTGCATTCAAAATGCTACAATTTGAAACTGATATTTTTAGTGATTGAAACGTGTCTTACATGCAAATTATTATTAAAATTACATATGCACCTTAAACCTATTGTTAGCCCATTAAATAACTGAAAAGGATGTATGAATATGGGAACCAAATTTCAGCTCTCTCCCATCATTCCTACTACCTCAGGGCAGAAACTTTTGGATCGCCCCTCGTATGTCGCACAGACTAATTCGATTATCCTATACCGAAATAATTGGTCCCAAAGCGGAAGTTGCCGAACGGACAGTTTTGTCCCTCAGTGTATATTTAACGTCTTAACAGGGGGTGAACTTTTATCCCCAAAAAGAGAATAAATGCCCCACCCTGGTTGGTTCTTATAAAACCTTTCTGCAGAGGATATGTATATATCCAAAAAAGGATGCATAAAAATCTGCCATTATCGCCAATAAGTAGTAGGGATAGAGGTCCTTCCCCAAAATAATAGGCTTGGAACCTGCAACTCACTTTGCTTTGTACATCATTAGACTCCTGTAGAGAAAGAGGAAATATTGAAATTGATTCACACGTATGGCCTATATAGCTAAAATATCAAAAAAGCAAAAGGTTGCTAAAAGTGTTTTGCATTAGAACTTCCAATAAAGTTAAACCCATAATTGAGAAGCTCATTTGGAGGAAAATAAATTCTATTCCTGTTGTGCTATAAAACAAAAATATTTATTACGTGGCAAGAAATAGAAAGGTGTCATTGCTCGAAAGAGAAAAGAGAAGAGAGAGCGAGGAAATTGACCTTGGCGCCTGATACCAAGAAAGGTTATTTTTGTCTAGCCGGTTATACACGCTCTTCGCTTCTCCTCCCTCTTATCTTCCCCTTCGGCTCGAGTTCATCGCCTTCGTCGCTAACAGTCAGGGCATCTGATTCTACTAGCGTGTCAATTTTGTGTCGGTTTGAGCTATGGAAGGTTCCGAGACGGGAACCCAGCTGCGTTCAGCAGGTGTGACGTTGCTTGGAGATTCTGATGGGTGAGTTGTCCATTCATATTCTCAGAGTTGAATGCAAATTACTAGACAATACATCGAATATATAGGTTCACACACCATACGTCCTTATTACTGTAACATGCACCACCACTATTACAATTTCGCGTTTTATCGCATTCCTGATCACCGTCTACGTTTACCTAGATCTTTATAATTTGATGATCGGACACTGAATTTTGAAGCAAAATGATAAAATATTTCATGCCTGGCGGCATTGGGTCAAATAGTGAATGCCATAACATTGTAGAAGTCAGTTTAAGTTTTGCATAGCCTGTTTTAGTAACATCTGATCTCGTGCATCAATGCCCAACTTTTTCGTATATTTTTTAAATAATTTGTTGCAGTCTCTCTGGCTCAGAAGGCTTGTGATGACCATGGTGGCAATATTTGGAGAAAATATGTGGCGCTTCATGCGCAGAATGATGTGGTTAGTTGCTTCATCTTTTGTTTATTCTTTTTTTCTGAGAAATATAATTTAGCTGGAAAATTTTCCTTCCGAGGAGCATAATGGAATGCGCACCTTAACCTGAAAATGAAACGTATACACAGTTCACTCAAGTCAAAATAATTGATTAACTCAAAAATATCCACCTTTCTTAAATAAATATATTCGTTTCTTTTATATTTTCCAGGATGTGGCTCTTGCAGTCCCCGAATCCTTGATTGTTGGCGAGGGCTCCCACTCCATATGGAGAGGCAGGAAGTCGCGCATACCATGCCAACATATGAGGAAGACGTCAACACATGGTTCTGTTCCTACTGGGCGTACTCCATCCGTTGTCCGATAGTGGTCATGGTCAGATGACAACATCTGTTCTACGATCGAAGGGATCGTGAAGCCGACAGAATGTGACTTGGCGGCGAAGATGTGGAAGCTAGCTAATTTCATCAAATCTTGACGCTATTTTCGCCATTGCTAATAGCATGTTTTCATACAAAAGCAATTCATCATTCACAAGGGTACAAAAATGTTGTATGCCACGAAATTCAGCACCGCATAACCCAGGCAAAAATGTTGTAGAGAGACCCTTTAGATTTCTATAGTTTTCACTGTAGTTTTCTAGAATTCAATAAACCACTCATCGCATCTGGATAGGACTCCATACAGATTGGTATAGTAAGACATACGCAAGTTTAGGGACAAAAAAAACGCATCTAGCTCATCTGTAATGATCACAAAGACTATATCATCTGTCGCTTTCATTCATGGAAACTACAGTACATAGATACATATTGGCAATGCGGATTAGGATGATCAAGCGGCTCTTTAATTTCGACAAAGGAACCTAAAGAGCTGAAGAGCCTGTACTTGTTGCAGTCACCCGTTCGTGCGCGATGCAACCGGTGAGGGCGACCTCCCTGCTATCGTATTGCGCGCACTATGCGATATCCCTTATCCATCGCCTATGAGGGTGTCCGGTCTATTCCCAGAATGGTTATTTCCCTGATGGTCAATTCCCCACAGGACAGTTCCTCGATTCCCCGGTGTTCCGATCTCACGGTCGCGGATGGAGGGCTATCGACCGCATCCATCTCTTTCGTGTCTAGGGGTCGATCACGCCCTTGTTTGTCTCTGAAGAGGTACAATGACACAAATAACAGAACAACCTTACTAGATAAAAGTTTTATTTTGGTTTAATGGTGAAAGGAAGCTTACAAATGAAATGTTTTATCTTCCTAATAACTCATGCTATAGGCGACACTACGCACCAACTCTTGTAGGTCGTCTGCAGTTGAGTTCTGAATCCCTGCGTATCTTTGTACGAGGGTTTTCAGAAGTCGATCTACGTCCAGGTACTTCTTCCTTGGAGGAGGGGGAGCACCAGCGATTCGCTGGATGATGCTCACTTCCTGCTTATTGTTCTCTTGGTGTAGTCTCCCAAGCTAGGTGAAGAAGTTTAGGTGTTGCCGTTACAGTTTTTAAGGAAACTGGAATGTAAGCCTTCCGCGGCATTTGTTGTACGTGGCAGGTCATGCAGGACACGATTGTAGTTGTTCCAGAGACCTGGTTCGAACAGAGGTGGTATCCGACGATTCCCTCTCATCACCCGTCAGATATAATTATCTTCAAAGTAGTTCAGTACAGGCAGTGCTGCGTTTGGCATGGTGGCTACAAGGTCGTTGAATGCATCTTCCACCTTTGCTGGTGGCACAAAGCTGAGTGCAGGAAGAGATTTCATTTGCAGGCGAAATTCAGGATCATTTTCATAATGTGGCTTAAGACCAGAATCTTGAATGAAAATGACAACCGTGCAACTGCACACCTGGAAACACGCGCTCCAGGGCATTCTGAGGAGCCTTCTCAAAATTAGTTGTGACACTCTGGGGTGCAGCAATTCCATGCTGAAGACGAAGTTGCTCCAGCTTCCTAGTGTACAGTCGCTCATCTTTCCCTGGTAGAAGAGTGTATATAAGTGGGATGATTTCTCCATAAAAACGCCCGTGGATGCTATACATCAGCATGTATTGCTTTGGAGTCGTCTTGAAAGTGGCATCCATGTACCAATCTTGGCATGCGTATCAGAGCCGCAAGCTCTCAGTCATGAAAACATGAGTATCCGGCCGCGTATTGGCTGTCCCACAATAGGAAGCGTTGTGGCGCTGCAGAGATGGTGTTTTCGTACGCGTCGGAATCACAATCTGAGCTCTTGTGGGCACGTTCAGATCAGTGGGCACGTTCTCCTCCCGATGACGGCGCACCTGTCGTGCGAGTAAATTTGCATCTGGAAGGGCTACTTGGGCCCCAGTATTCAGTCCCATCAAGTTCGCCTGTAGAATCTGTCCTAGAATGATGCGATAAAAGCAATCAGTTTATTTTGCCATCGGCTTGCTTCAAGGCTTCTAGCCGTATGATAAAAGTAAGGTTTTATATGCTCGGAATATCTCCAATAAGCGAATGCTGGTAAGTATGCTCGAAATGTACAATGGAAATGTAAAATATTTTATTTCTAAATTAATCCCGTACGCTCTCTGGCGTATCGATACGGAAGTATTTGTGAACGAGACATTGAATTACGAATTTTTATTTATAAAAATTATTAAATGGTTCAACACTTGTGACCTCGATACTTTGACATTGATTCCTTTAAAAATGCAGGATAGTATGTTCGGGAATGGAAATAAAATAATAATACACTTGCACTATGTTATTGCACTAACCTGTCTTCTGTTGCGTGCTCTTGGCATCATTCACGATGCTTACGATCATCTTGTGGGCTTGTAATTTCCCAGGTTCTGGAGCTTGATGATGTTGCCCTCGCCTGCTGACAACCTGCTCTCCTTCAGTTGTAGCTCTGAAATTGCAGTTTCCTTTGTATCTTCTATAGAGGCACTCCTAATACGTTCTTCGTCCGTCCTTGCTCATCTTGTTTTGTGTGCGCAGATAGCCCTAAAAAACAAGAGGATTCTTGCCCTTTTCGCTCTTCACAAACTCCATGAATACACGAACTCTCACACCGTCCAAGAACTGACCACTTAATGATCTAATTCATAAAGCTACCCAACTTCTCCATATAAAGTCCCATTTTAGATTTTGATAGACATCTTGTCGATCGTCTCATCTCTGGCGGCCAAGAGGATTATCCTACAATCATTTCTGTCGCCTTTTTCCATCTTTATCCCTTTCCCGCGAGAATCTTTATCAGTGATCTGACTGACATTGTATCGGCAGTCATGTTCCCTAAACGAACTAAGTTTCCTAAGGTGGGAGACGAAGAATTTAAGATTTTCTCTCCTCCAGGATTAGATAAGATTGGCGACTTTCCCCTTTCCTTTCTTTCGCCTAGAACCCCCTCCCTTTGGTTCCGGCTCGGTTGGGAGACGGGGAGACGACCGCATCCTCCCCTCACTCCCGCATGCATGATGTGCGAGACAGGAAACTTAAATCGGAAACAAATCCACTTCCTTTGGGAAAATCCAAAACGGGGAGCTGGCCGTTCGGGGAATTTGTCATTCGGGGAACTGTCCTGTCGGGGAATTGACCGTCGAGGAAATAACCATTCGGGAATTGACCGGGGATCCCTATGAGGCTCTGTCCTCCCAGATGAGAGACCAGATAGAGACGTTTTGGTTTCGTCCAGTTTCTCGTATCCCAAAATACATGTTTATTTTACAACCCAATCCCAGTCGGTGCAGCTCTTTAAAATTGCACCACTCAGGACGGAACGACTCTCCGATGCACGATCACCATGAGGATTTCCAGCAGTTCACTGTGCCATATCCCTCCACCACCATATGCCAATGCTTTCACAAGTTCATCATAAATTAATCGGATATGAGCCTTCTAAAAGGCTCTTCACATTCTATACAATTATAGATGACCTTTTTACGAGCTGAAGTCGAAGAAAAAAGGCTACCTTTAATTCTTTATCTTTTCCTTTGGGAACCCTATGTGCATCTACTTATTTTTTTTTTAATTTGATGGAATTTCGATAAATATTTTATACGCTGACAACAGAAGTTCATGGCATTCAATATAAATTATGTACACTTTCTAGAAAGTGACACAAAAGAAATTCATACACCCCTATAGAAATTCTGTGGAGTTTCTTTACAGTGTCTTCGTGGAATTCTCTAGAAATTTTGTAAGATTCTTGATTGAATGTCTTTAGAATCTCCATAGAATTTCCATACAGTGATTTAATAGAATTCTATTGAGAGAAATGATAGAATTATATGCGACCTTATATAATTTTTTCCTTAGAGTCTATAGAATATTTTTGCCTGGGAAATCCCTCCTTGGATAAATATTAATCCCTTCATGAGAGATTGGTCATAAATCCCTTTTGGGATGAATACCAATCCCCTCAGGAGCAGTTACATGTGAATCCCTTCAGAGGCAAACGTGAATCCTTGTGGGGTGGGGTGAAAATCGCCCTGGGGCAGATGGACGGATATATAGAACCTCCCAGCCTATACATATTTATCCCTCTTCCAAGGTTTCTTATAAAAACCGAAGGAAAGGGATTTATACAGAGCCAACAAGGATAAACATGAATCTCTTGAAAAGGTTATTCGTAAAACCCTTTCCAGAGGTTTAATATAAACCCGGTCTCGGATTCATGTACGAGTCAGGTATAAATCCTCAAACGGTTGAATCGCAAGCCCTTTCGGCTGACAGTGCATATCAGAAGGAAATATCTCTTCTGGTTTTCGAGTCGAGTCGATGAGGCTTTTTCACTGAAAATTTGTCAAATTCGAAGGAAGTATTTGGGAGTGTCGCGACGTATATGGTGCATCCCGAGGGAGTAGTTCAAGCTCCCTCGGCCTTCCTCAGCCCTCCTCAGCCCTCCTCAGCCCTCCTCAGCCCTCCTCAGTCCCCCGCAGCCCCCACGCGTCTGTGTTGATTCATCAAGGCAATAAGATCCCCTTTTTGGGTGTAACTAGTACCAAACAAGTACTGAAAACATTGTCGGATCGAAAGACCCAGAAAATGCCAAAAGAGCAGAAAGAACTGGACGGATTTGCTCCAAAAATGTATCAATGAAGTTCATTGCTCCCTGGGGTGAGCCGTGGCCATGGGCGCTGGGGTGGTCCAACGTGAGGAGCAAAGCATTGAAAAAATTCGCATTGGCCATAAAGTTTCTGCGATTATGGGGTATGATGGGAGATTATAGGGAGATTGTTGGAAGCCATCACATGCTTCAGACTTCAGTTTGTAAACATTCCATCCTTAGGGTCTTTTCGATCGGCAAATTTAATGTATGCATTCCTCAGAGTCCGTTTTTTTTTTGCAGTCAGAGAAACTAAAATCGATCGAAACAAAAATGATCTGATCCCATGTATGATAGTGGGAGGAGAAATGAGAGGAGTCAAGGCTGTCACTTTCAAAGCTTTCGATCTGCCGTTTGACACGAGCCGATCGAAAGCTCTGTCATGGAACATGTCTCGTATTTGCATATCGAGAGCAGAGGGAAAAAAATGGGGGGGGGGGGGAAATGTCGGGAGTTAAGCTCAAACCAAAGGGTCGACAGAGGGCCGACAGTGGGCCGAGGAACATACGAAATCGGGCCCCCACATCGACCCAGCCCACATTGAACTGTCCCTATCAGGAACTGTTGAACTGGGATTTTTTCCACAGCAGGAAGATCCTTGAAGAAAAAAAAAATTTGACAAGGGCAACTACTCGGCAGCGTGAGCGATCCGAAATGGAAATTCATCTCACAGGAGCATGAGAATTACAATCGAGCATTCAAATAAAAAGGTATTGTTCGAGATTGACAATACCGACGCCTGACGATGTGACACGATGACAAATGGCCCGCACTGTTCTTTCTCCTTATGAAAAGGTCGTGGGCTGATTAATCGATCGTTTCCGCGACTCCAAATGCGAATGTGTCCGAATATGGTCATCTGTCCATGAAATAAAAAAAAAATAGAAGAAGAAAAAAAAAAAAAGGATTCAAAGCGAGGACCCTTTCATGCCGGTTAACGGTCTGAGGGCCGAGAGGCTGAATGGACGTGGACCTTGGCGACTCGGCACTCAAGGGCTCTGTCGCCGTGATCCTTCACCCTTCTACGCACGAAAGCGATTGCATCACCGGGACGACACAGTGACGTCACGGTACGAGCCCCCCGCTGCAGGGGTTGGGCCACTCGCGGCTGGGAGTCGGGTCTGGAACGTTCGAGGACCGGTCTGCGGAGCTTTCTCGGCCTTCTGTTCGTTCTGGGGATTCGTGGAAGCGTTGCCGGATCGAAGTCCGGATAAAATGGTGCTGGACAATTTTTTCCAAAATGAGGAATAGAGCAAGATGGTCCCAGCTCAAAATGCGTTCACAGTACTTGAAGGTACATTGACAGCCCATCGAAAGCCAATTATGCCCAATATCACGATCTCTTAAACATATTTCGAAAGTAGATATAGAAATTCCTCAAAGCTGGGACAACCTGAGCCAGATCGACGGCCAGAAGGTGGGAGGGTGGGCGTAGGGAGGAAGGTGGTCAAGAAGAGGGAGAGGAGGGTGGAGTGAGGAGGAGGAAGCTTAAGGTGAGGACACACGGAAATGCGACATGGGTAAGATAGGAGAAGGTGAACGAGGAGGAAGAATAAATCAACTCTGTAATTCCCCACGAACACATCATAACTGTTGCTCTGAGGTTCGACAATATAGAAACGAACGTCTCCCTGAATCTGAGTCCCCCGGATCTGTCGATGCTTAAAACCTGAGTTAGTAAACAACTTATTTTTAGAAAGTTATATTGTGTAGATATCGCAGCGGTTTAGGATGAAAAGCTGAAACGTGCACGGGGAGTCAGTTGGCTCCGAAAATGGGAACGACATTTTGTCGCTGAACGGAATCGGGAGTCCGGGAAATGGCCATAGTTGGTCGGAGAAACATTACTAAATTTAATGGGAAGGGTGCCGTCCAAGTCGGTCAGAAGTCGCATAAACTTTTAGCGTCAAATCACGATTGCAACGTCGATGAATCGCAGCAGAGAAGGTCTGACAGGAAATAAGGAAAATTTGCCTCAAAACTTGCCACTCAAAGACAGGCGTCGCAGGTCGAACAGAGCGCGGCCGTGACACTGCAAGCCCCTCGAGCGCTTTCCCCTTCCCTCCGTCGCAGAGTGACGTCACCGTGACGTCACGAGGATGAGCTCGTCTCCAGGCGCTTCGATGAAGCGTCACTCGCCTCGATTCCTCTGTGGGGGCGGGGGGGGGGAAGAAGGAAAGACTCGGGGAGGGAGAGTAGTCCCGCTCCCCCGTGCCGATGGTTATCGGGACCGGATCCACATTATGCGGGTACCTGTTGCCGACCGAACTTCCATCGAATGGGAAGAGGGGAAAAACGGAGATAAACCTCGGCCGAGCACGTGCACCGCCGAGAGACCGGCTTTTTTTTTTCTCTTTCTTCTTCCCCGGGCACTGCCGAAGATTTTAGGGCGACCGTTCGTATGCATCGGCGTCGTCTCGGCGATCTCGCCGGACCGAGTTCACGACTGCAAGGCAGGCATCGATTTTTTTTTCCCGGTGAAATGCACGTTCTACGAAAAATTAGAATTAAGATAGAAAATTAGGATGCTCGTAAAACTCCGTCAAAGTCCCAATCGACGTGTTTTCTGTGGAACCGGAGAGAAAAATGGCTACTGGCGACAAGCACCAAGCCTCCTCTGCTATGAGGACCCGGATTCCCTCTTACAGGCCCTGTCAAGGTTGACATTTCCAATTCCATGAGAGACGGAATGATGCATGAAAACGAGGGCGCCATAACGGAGACTTCACGGTAACCTCGGTCTGCTTTGCATTCCATTCTTTCGTACTCGGCAGATTTTCGAGTGCAAGAGGCTCAAGGCTCAAGGTTCAAGATGTTGGAACCCGATGCCCTTGGTGCAAAATTGGACAAAAAAAGGTCTGAAAGCTTCTGCGGGGAAAATGAAGCTCGGAGAGTAAAAATAAGTTTCTTCTGTTTCCGCTCGTCGAACATCCGCCGACCGAACAGGCTTCGACGGGTCTCACAATATTATAATATTAATAATGTGAGTCCAACATTAGTTCTGTTTTAATATTTTGAGCTCAATGTCAGAATGATTCTCTAGCCTTCTTATGTAAAATCCCTTCTTTCATCCTCGGGGATAAATGATACCTCCCTGGGAAAAGAC